GGCGCGCTCGGGATTGCGACTCGCGCGGCGGCGGAGGCGGAGGCGGCGGCGGCGGCGGAGGCGGCGGCGGCGGCGGAGGCGGCGGAGGCGGCGGCGGCGGCGGAGGCGGCGGAGGCGGAGGCGGGGGCGGCGGGGGCGGAGGGGGCGGAGGGTGGGGCGGGGAGGGGTGCTGCTGCTGAGGTGGCGCCCGCACGAGCGATGCCAGCGGCGGGCGAGACTCGCGGCAAGTCGGCGGCGGGGGGTGTTGCGGTCGCCACCCCGTCGCCGAGTAGAGCGGGTGGGTGGACGTGTGTCCCCGGACGTGTCCGGGACGTGTCCTGGTAGGTGGTCGTCGTCGCCGCGCCGTCGCCTCTCCCGGGCGACGAGGCGCCTGCGGAGGAGGCGGCGTCTGCAGGCGAGGCGCCCCCCTCGCCGAGGCTGCTCTCTCCCCCCTCCCCTCCTTCCTCACGCCTGCCTCTTCACGCCTCTCCAGCTTCACACCTGCCCTCTTCACACCTGCCCTCTTCATACCCTCTCCTCTTCATATTTGCCCTCTTCACACCCTCTCCTCTTCACACCTGCCCTCTTCACAACCCCCCCTATCCCCTGCCTGCAGGAGAGGAGGAGGCGCCCCCGCGCCAAGGCTCTCCGATGGAGTCGGCGGCAGGGTCCCCCGTGGAGGGGTCCCCCGCCCTCAGCGACCCGGAGTGCGAGGCGACGGCCCTCTGTTCTGGACGAGTTTGAGCTCAACCAACCGAGCCGCTCACCCGCAGTGACTCCACTCCTTAGACGGCCCTCACGCTGGACGACTTCGAGCTCCTCCGCCTCATCGGCAAGGGCGGGTACGGGAAGGTCTTCCAGGTCCGCTGCGCCCTCAACGGCGAGGTGTACGCGATGAAGGTCGTGGACAAGGCGTCCGTCGAGAGGTGCCGCTCGATGGACAGCCTTCAGACGAGTGGGCGGCCTACTCACCTGATTGCTTGAATTAACTCAGGTACCGCTCGATGGACAACATCGCGACCGAGCTCTCCGTGCTCCGGCGGTGCGCCCCGCCCCGCCCGCCCCTACAGCATCGTCCGCAACCACGCACTCCTCCACAAGAGTGGTGGCTGGTTAGAGTGGTGGTTGTGTGGCTAGGTACGCGGAGCACCGCCACCCCTTCATCCTCGGCCTCGAGTGCGCCTTCCAGTCCGCGCTAAAGCTCCACTTTGTGATGGAGTACGTGCCCGGCGGCATGCTCTTCAACCACCTGCGGCAGCAGGAGTGTGCTCTCTCGCATTCCGAAACGGTGGCACACTCTCTCTCCCCATACACCCCCCCCCCCCTCCCCCTCCCCCCACACAGGAGATGTTTTCCGAAAAGATGGCGCGCTTCTACGCCGCCGAGGTCCTGCTCAGCCTCGAGCACCTCCACACGGGGAGATAGGGGGAGATAGGGGGAGATGTGCGGAGATAGGTCCTGCTCGGCCTCGAGCACCTCCACACGGGGAGATACGGGGAGATAGGGGGAGATGTGCGGGGATAGGTCCTGCTCGGCCTCGAGCACCTCCACACGGGGAGATAGGGGGAGATAGGGGGAGATGTGCGGAGATAGGTCCTGCTCGGCCTCGAGCACCTCCACACGATGCGAATCATCTACCGCGACCTCAAGCCGGAGAACGTGCTCGTCTGCGCCGACGGCAAGGTCGAGCTCTGCGGCGTCAGACTAGACCACGACCTCCTGACTACTACTACTCAGAGTAGGCAACGTCAAGCTCTGCGACTTCGGCCTGGCCGCCATCGGGCTGACGGCGCCCGCGACGCAGCCGTCTGCGTCTGGCCGTCCTGTCCTCATCGGCACGACCGAGTACATGGCGCCGGAGATCATCCGGATGCTCGAGTGCGGCCAGGCATTCGAGCATAGACCCTCCGAGATGACCCGAGATCATCTAGATCATCCGAGATCACCGAGAGGACCCGAGAGGACCCGAGATGGCCCGAGATCATCCGAGATGGCACGAGATAGCCCGAGATGGCCCGATATGGCCCGAGATCACCCGAGATCACCCGAGATCGTGCGGGCAGGCGGTCGACCTGTGGGCGCTGGGCGTGTTGCTGTACGAGATGGTGACGGGCGAGGCGCGCTGTCGCACGACGTGCCCAGAGGTGGCTCGCAGCTGTTTCTTACGGCGCCGAGGGGTTTCGTTTTGGTAGGCGCCATGGTACCACAAGGAGGCGAAGGAGCTGCAGCGCAAGATCGTGCACACGAAACCGAAGCTGCCGTCGTGGCTCGCAAGCGAGACGCGGTCGCTGCTCAAGGGCCTGCCACACCCCACGGAGCCTCGGGCGCGGCGAACGAGAGCTTAATTAATGCGTTGACCGATGACGTTAATTAGGCTTGCTCACAAAGGAGCCTCGAACACGGCTCGGGGTCCACCCGGAGTCGGAGGTGTGCGAGTCAGACGCCATCGCCATCAAGGCGCACCCCTTCTACCACACCACCCACGGAGCTGAACCCACACTGGGTTCGAGACTCTGGAGGTATGGGACTAGGCGCACGCCTTCTTCCGCGGCCTCAACTGGCGGATGCTGGAGCTGCGCCGCCTCGAGCCGCCGCTGCTGCCCGCGCTCGCCGACGGCGCCCTCGACGTCTCCAACTTCGACTCAAAGTACGGCCTCTGCACCATACCTCCAGAGTCTCAAACCCAGTGTGGGTTCAAGTCGGTGGGTGGGCACTAGGTACACCCTCGAGCGGCCCGAGATGTCGCCGCCGCGCAAGCCGCTCTCGAGCGCGATGGAGGAGCGCCGCACGCACGCACGCACGCACGCACGCACGCACGCACGCACGCACGCACGCACGCACGCACGCACGCACGCACGCACGCACGCACACACATCGCCCACCGCTCATCCTCGGCCTTGCATCGTCAATGCCGTGGGCCTCCTGGCCTGGGGACGTGGCGATGTGCGAGGGGCTCCCCCCGCCCCCCGTCCCGCCTCGTGTGTGTGGAGGCGTCCCCCCTCCCCGTACCCCGCCTTAGGAGCGCTTCTCCAACCTCGATCTCGAGTACATGAGCCCCGAGACGCGAGACTCGGTCCGCGCCTCCGTCCGCTCCTCCAACGCCTCCTCCGTCGGCAGCGCCCGCTCCTCCCGCCGCTCGCCCACTGCGTCGGGCGCCGACTCGTCGCTCTTGCGTTTCGCCCCGCGGCCGCCAAAGAGGTAGCGGGGACTGCGCGGCACAGCGCCTTGCCGGTCCTGCGCTGCGCTGACTCCCTGGTGCGGAGCCAGGTCGTCGTCAAGGTTATTTTGTTGAGTTGTCTTGCCGTTCATTCCACAGCCCACTCTTTCCGTTGCACCACCTGATGCTACAGAGGGCTGGCAGCGCGCTGACAGGGAGGGAGCCCATCGCACCACCAGGTGGAAGAGAAGAGAAGTGGTGGAGCTGCGTTCCGCAGTCCACTCTCAGCTTGTTTTGAAGAAGAACTGCGCAGTAAAGATGGCAGGCGTGGGACCAGCTCCTTTAAACGAACGCACCCCTCCTAGATCCTTCGGGTTTAGCCGTAGGTAGAGATGGGTAACAACGAAGGACCGTAAGAGGAGCGGCAGCGCGGGGCCGGGGGTCCCGGCGCCGCGTCGTGCGCGGTGGGGTGTGGTGTCCGCCGTCGGCAGGGCCGCAGTAGAGTCTCTTCTCGCGGAGCGTTCCTCGTCCAAAACTGCGCGGGCGTCTCACCGCCCCGGCGCCCACGTCTCGACCTTCCTTGGCGGCAGCTGGTTTTGCTCGTGGCCCAACCGGCCAGCAAGCCCACCGCCCCAGCTCCGGACGGCGCCGTCGGTGGTGAGTGCGATGTTGTGCCGACCCCTGTGTCATACCCTGATCGCTCCGGTACTCGATCGGGCGCTCTCAGCTCTCCGCGACGCGGAGCGCGCGCATCGCACCCTTCAGCTCCGCCACCTGGTCGAGCGCGTCGCCGAGCAACCCCTTGGCCACGCCAAAGTCGCGCAGCTGCTCCACGCCGCCGCTCGCCCGCACCTCGGCGGCGTGGTCGGCCACGAAGCGGCGGCACTGCGCGAGGAGCCGCCCGTCGCCCGTCGCGTGCGCCGCCTCGAGCAGCGGCACGGCGGTCGCCGGCGCGACGCTCTCCTGCAGCGCCTGCGCGCAGAGCAGCTCGAGGCGCGGCACCTGGTACATCTGCGCCAGCTCCCGCAGGTCGAGCGCGCGCTGCGCCCTGCTGCCCTCCTCCTCGCCGAGGTCGAACTGGTCGGAGAGGAGGTAGTCGACGAGGGCGGTGAAGCTGGCGAGGTCGGTGTGGGACACCGTGACCTCGGCGGCGTCGCGCTCCTTCATGCCGATGCCAAACATGGTCCGAAAGACCGGGGACCGGGCGCAGAGATTGCACTTGCTCACGTGCTCGATGCGCTCCTTGTCGTCGCCGACCAGGAAGGTGACCATGCCCTGCGGGAGGGAGGCGTCGCCCCGCGTCGTTGCGAAGTCAGCCAGGATTGTGGAAGGCGGAACGACGATCGGGGCAAAGGAGGGAGGCGGAGGAGGCGCCGCCACGCAGACCTGGCGGAGGCCTCCTCCCGAAGTGACCAACAGCGTGCTGCCGTCGGCGCTGATGGCGACTTCAGTTGGGTAGCTGAGCTCCGCCGCGTCGCCCACGCCATCAGCGCTGCCCTCTGTGCCACTGCCCGCGATCGTCGTCACCTCTCCCGTCGCCACCTCAACCCGCCGGATCTTGTGGTTGTCATGGTCCGCCACAAACACAGCGCCGCCGTCTGGGCTGATGGCGACTCCGTAGGGGCTGTCAAACTCCGCCGCGTCGCCCACGCCCTCAGCGCTGCCACTGGCGCCGCTGCCCGCGAGCGTCGTCACCGCGCCCGTCGCCACCTCAACCCGCCGGATCTTGTGGTTGCTGGAGTCCGCCACAAACAGCGCGCTGCCGTCTGGGCGGATAGCGATGCCAGTTGGGTAGAAGAACTGCGCCGCGTCGCCCACGCCATCGGCACTGCCCGTGGTGCCGCTGCCCGCGAGCGTTGTCACCTCTCCCGTCGCCACCTCCACCCGCCGGATCTTGTGGTTGCTGAAGTCTGCCACAAACAGTGCACTCGCGTCGGAGCTGAGGGCGATGCCAGACAGGCTGTTGAACTGCGCCGCGTCGCCCACGCCATCGGCGCTGCCCGCTGCACCGCTGCCCGCGAGCGTCGTCACAGCACCAGTCGCAACCTCAACCCGCCGGATCTCGTCGTTGCTGAAGTCCGCCACAAACACAGCGCTCCCGTCTGGGCTGATTGCGATGCTGTTGACTCCACTTGCCGGCAAGGATGCCACGCGGCGCACGCGCCCGGCCGCCGAGACGTGCAGCAGCGAGTCCTTGGTCGAGACGTACCAGGCGCCTGCGTGGTCGCTTGCAAAGCCAACCGGACCGACTGATAGAGGGCCATCCTCGCCCTCGAGCGCCAGCGTGGTGACCTGGCCGACGATGCGCACGCCAAAGATGGGCGCCTCGAAGCCAGCCGCGACCGGCACGGGCTCCTTGTCCTCCTCGCCGCCGCCGGTGCGGGCGCGCTTGCGGGCGGAGGACGCCATTGCCGCGGTGAACAACGCTGCTGGATTCGGGACACGGGCGTGCGGGGGCGAGCGATTCCCGACAAACAAAAGCTGTACCTAGAGCTGTAGAGCTGTAAGAGAGGTGTGGAGCGCTGTAGAGCTCTACATCCGCGGCGCGGGACGAAGAGCACGATTTCACAGTGGGTGTGCGGGATGTCTGTACGGCCTACGGCCGGGCGGCGGCGCGCGGACAGCGGCGGCGGCGCGGCGGCGCTACTCCTCTGCTGCTGCTGCTGCTGGTGATGATGCTGCTGCTCCTGCTACCCCTCCCGCCCGCCCGCCCCGCCCGCCCGCTCGGTAAGCTCTCTTCACCTTCACACTGGTCGAGTCATAGCACATAGGCGCGAGGGGCGTGTGGCATGTCTTGCGAGGAGGGGCGCCTGCCAAAACCTCGCTTCGTCGAAGCGGCGCGTCGTACACACACACACCCACCTCGCTGCAACTGTCGCCGGCTCGCGACTCGGTACCGCCGGCGAAGCCGTCCTCGTCGAGTGCGTCTCGCCATGCCCATGGCGGGGCGCACTCAAGGACGGTGCCGGCGGGATGCGGCTCCGAATGGCGAGGCACCGCAGCACGGGCTGGCATACGTCGCAGAGGGCTGTCTTCAAAAAGACTCGTATGGCTCTACGAGCAAACCTTCCACCTCTGGGCCGGCGCGGGGGTCCCAGAGGGTGTCCATGCGGGGAGGCGATGGGGCCCCATGGCCCGCCGCAGGCGCCGATTTCTTCATTTTCTTTTTGCGCGATTTTTACTTGTTTTCGTGGGAATCGGCGCACTTGCGGCCATGCTATCACGCCTTGCGACATCCTTTCGGCGCTGCTGACCGTGCCATGCTGCACAATTGATCACCTGCATAGCTCGCGGCCTTAGTATCAAACATTCAGTGACGACCTGATCGTACGGCCAGTAGGAAGGTGTCCTTCCATCGTGTGCACGCTTGGCGCAATGCGCGTCGCCTCGGATTGGCTGCTGGCACTCTCGAGGCTATGCCTACACAGCCTCGCGCGCATGGGCAGTCAAGAGGGACCATGCACCTTCTCACGACAGCGCCGGTGCCTCTCCCTTGGACCGGCAAACTTTGTGGTCTAGTGTCACCAATGTGGGACCAGTGTGGTTGGCGCCCCGCTTGAGCAGCACCTTGATCACGTCTGTATGGCCCCGCGTCGCCGCCCAGTGGATGGGCTGCATCCCTGACGACTCAACCGCCCAGTCGTGCGGCGCTCCCTGCTCGATCAGCCACTCGACCAGCTCCGCGTGCCCCAGCAGCGAGGCCCATTGGACGGCAGTCGCGCCGTCCTCAGTGTCGCGGCCCTGCAGCGCCTCAGGGTGCTGCGCTATTACGCCCTGGCTCATCTCCTTCGACCCCGACCGCACCGCCATGATGAGCAGGTCCGCAGGCGTCGGCACCATGCCGCCCGCCATGTCGGCCGACGACGCGGCGCGCCCGCGTCCGACACTGCGCCGTGGTCGTGCGTGGACGCGTCCGCATGCGAGTGTGACGACATAGCGGGGGGGCTCAGCCGCGCGCGCCGCCGGGCGGGGAAACGGGTTTTCTTTTGTTGAGAGCCACCACATTGCGAGGGAAGAGACGAGATCTCTAATATCCGCCGCAGGGCTTACGTCACGCGTTGCGGTTCGTCGGCTCCACGAGGTTGATGAAATCGTCGGTGCCACACGCCAGCACGCGGAGGATCGCCTCTTCCGAGCGCACGTACTCGAATGGCAGGGGCTCCAGCTTCTGCAGCGTGACCGTCACGGGCGTCCGCCCAGGCCGCGCCTCGACGACCACCTGCGTGGTGGTCGACCCTGGCGTCTGGCTACCGCGTGCGGTGATGGAGTGCGCTCCCAGGTAGAGGCCAAGCTCGATGGCGCGCAGCCGCATCATCCGGTTGAGCGTACGCGTGCCCGTCCAGCCGAGCCGCGCGAACGGGAGCTCCTCCGGGTGCGAGCAGACGACGATGTCGATCCGGTGCAGCTTGCTGGTGCGCGCGCTGCGCCAGATGCCAAAGAACTTGTCGTGGTGGTCGTGGTGCAGGTTCTCGTAGCCCTTGCTCGTCTCATTGGCCATGTGGAGGTCACTCAGGTACGGCCGCGGCGTCTCGTGGCGATACCTCGCCGTCTTCTTGTTGTGGTACGCCTCCGTCTTGGGCAGCACGCGCCCCCGCCGCTCCAGCTCCTCGAGCAGCAGGTTGATCACGAAGACGGGCTGCCCGTTGCCGTCCAGGAAGCTGGCCATCTCCTCCGCGTGGCTTAGGAGGAGGTCGACGTCGTGCCCTGCAAACCCGCGCGTGCGGCCGCCGCCCACAAACTCGGCGTGCCAGCCGTTCGCGTGCGGTATGCTGAGCGCGCGCACGGCCTCCTGCACCGTCCTCAGCATCGCGATGGCGTCGTCGGCGGGCACGGGCTCCTGCAAGTCCTCGTGCACCGCCAGCGAGTGCTGCAGCCGGACCCCGCCGCCGAGCTTGGCGAGCCTGTCGGGGCGCGCGCGTAGCTCGGCGATGGATCGGATCGGGTCGCGCGTGTCGTCCACGAGCTCCCCGGCACGGATGGCGCTGAGGCAGAGCACGGAGGCGAGCTCCAGCTTTGCCGGGGCGCCGGTCATGCGCCTCGTGGCTCCGTGCTCGCTCCTGTGCGCATGCGCGCGGCGGCCGCCGCTGCTGTCCAGGGGCGCTTCGCCGCGCCGGAAGCGAGAGAGGGTCCGCTCGCATGTGCCGGTCTCGACGATGTCGAGCACCTTCCGCGCATTGGACTCGCCCAGGAACGGCTCGGCCTTGAGCCGCTCGAGGGTGCGCCCCCGCCCGCGCGACGCGAGGGACGCGCTGATCGACCACGTCAGGCCTTTGACGACGGCCTTTGCGCGCGCGTACTGCAACGCTTCGGAGTTGGTCGCGAGGCACTCCGGGTCGGCATAGTCGTCGCCCTGGCAGACCAGCTCGTACTTCTCGAGTTCGCGCAGCGCTTTCTCGAGATGGGCCGTGCCGTGCGGCGACACCAGCGGAAACGCCTTGCGCAGCATCCGCTCGGCAGCAGTGGGCTCCTTATCGATTGCTGCAGTCAGCGCAGACGACGGTTGGAGGACGAGAGCGGAGCATGATGAGCCCGCCGACGTGCGCTGGCGCTTTACATTCGTCACCCGTGGATCTCTCGCGAGCCCATCCTCGTCGCTGTCGTAGCCTGTCACTTGCCAGAGGCTTGCAAGAGTGTGAGTGCTTTCATCGCCACCGTCTAGCGGCTCGCAGACCGCCTCGCTGTCTTTGATGTCGCGCAGGTAGTAGAGCGCGCCACGTGCGCATTGCACTATCGTCGTCTTCTCATTGCGGAGCTGCTTCGTCGCCTCGGATGCATCGAGCGAGGCGACGAGCGAGGACGCTGCCGACAAGCCTGGCGATCGCATTGCCAGTGGCGAAGCTCTCTAAAAAAGAATTTTACCTACGAAAGAGACGTGGCGGCGAGCCGGTTCTTTACCAGGTTGCAACCCTTGTTCCGCACTGTGCTGTGAATCGAGCGGCAACCAACAGCTCTCAGGACCCCCCGGTGCTGGGGTGCTGCCAGCAACCAACCAACTCACCGGCGAGCGGCCTGTATTGCACCATACGCGTCGGGGCTGCCGACGGACGGGGAACGTCGACGACACAGGGGACGTGCGTACGACGACGCATTTTTTTCTGTCTCTCTCTCTCAACCTAACTCTCTCTCTCTCCAAGGTGTTCTATCATTGCGGCCGCCTCTCGCCTACCGCGCTGCCCTCGCCTGCCACCGCACCGCCCGCGCTCCAGCCTAACCAGCTCTGCATCTCGCAACACACACTTGACAGGGACAGACCAGGCGCAGGAAAAGGGAGCGGGGCCCGAATCCAAGGGACCACCCCGTCGGGCGGAGGAGCTGTGAACTCAGGTCCAGCAGGAAGGCTGCTGGCTCCTGACTCATCCCCCAAATCCCCCACACCTTGGCGGCCTGAAACCTTACCATTCCGACACCTCACACACACCCCTCCCCTAGGGCTAAGCAGTGCGCGAGCCCACCCGACTTCAGGCGAGACGTTGACCACTCCTTTGGAACAGTTCTGTCAGTGGCTGCACTAGACGCCCACAGAGGCGCGCGGCGCGGGCAGATGACTAGGGGAGAAAAAGCGGAGAACCTAGCTCGCTGGGAGATGTGCGCAACCTAAAGACGGGAATAGGGGAGAAGTGTCAGTGTGAGGGGAGGGCGTAGGCTGGCGTTTTTGCCTTTGAAAACTGAACAGTTTTTTTCTATGACTGCGACACAAGATACGCTAGGCATACGGTACACGCGTGTCGCGTGTCGCGTGTACGGAAGGTCGGAAGCACTTATCGGCTTTACCGCGGTACCTTTAGCGTTTAGTCGGTCCGTTTAGGCTTTACTTAGGATAGAGGATAGCGTGTCGAAACTGAAACGAAAAGTCCACATGATGCGACATACCATCGAGTACTACTCAGTACTCTACTCCCCGGGAGTACTGACTACGGCTAGCCCTACGAACTAGGTCCGGCGCACGTCAACATCGCTTTGGCCACAGGCACAGCCCTCCACGTCGCTCGCGCTTTCTCCCAGACCCACTGCCCCCCCCCCCCCCCCCCCTAAGTGGCGGCACGTCCGGAGGGAGTGTGCTCCCGCCTCCACCTCCATCGCCGCCTGG